GCGCTGTAAAACAGTAGACCGTCGTGCACACGATACCGGTGTGCACTTGTTCGTAGACGACGAGCCAACTACGACGTGCTTTGTCGGAAGGAGCTTAGAGGAACTCGATCGGCTGCTCCGCGTCTGCGTCATGCGCATACACGGCCATCACCTCGTCCAACAAGACGACGACGGTGTGTATGTCCGAGCGACGTCAATCCGGTTGACGTCGGCTTGTCTTGACAGCGTAATCCGGTCGTCGCGACAATGCGTCCGCGACGATGTTCAACCTTCCGGGTTTGTACTCGACCCGGAAGTTGTATTCCACGAAGAAGGGCAACCATCTCGCCATTCGTTGCGAGATGTGCGGAGACTTAGCAGCCGTCCGCAACGACGGGTGGTCCGTGTAGACCACGAAAGGCGTGTTGATGAGTAAGTAAACTCGGAACATCGCGAGTGCGTACTTCATGGCAAGGCGTTCCTTATCATGTACCGGATAGGTTCGCTCAGCTGGCTTTAGCGGGGACGCGACTGGTAGTATACGACTCGATCACGGCCCTCGTGACTGAGTTGCATTAACGCACATCCGATCGCGAAATTGGATGCGTCACACACTACGATCTTGATCGGCCACAGCCAAGATCGGCGCTTCGGTCAAGCCCAGCTTGACTGCATCGAACGCCTGTTGACACTCAGCAGTTCATTCCCACGCAGCTTCCGTCTTCAGAAGCTGCGACTGCTGGTGAATCTTGCCTGTGTAGTTGTCCGCGTACTTGCACAAGTACGTTGCAAGGCCAAGAAACTGCCGCAGCTCCTTCACGTTGGATGGCGTAGGCCATTCATTGATCACTCTGACCTTCTCGGGGTCAGGGCGTACGCCATTCTTTCCAACGAGACACCCCAGCACTGGTATCTCACCGAAGATACACTTCTTCAGGTTCGCATAGAGCTTGTGCTTGCGCATGAGCCCAAGCAGTTCCCGGAGATGCTCCTTGTGCATCTCAACGTCCGTCTTTTCGTTCACAGTCCGGCTGTGAACGTACACATCTTCGAAGTAGCTCGGTGCGAAGTCACGCACCGAGCGCAATAGGAGAGGGATATCGCTCTCACGCATCAGGATCTGATAGAACCCGTCTCTCAGATCAAGAGCACTGTAGATGGTGCTCTTGGACATCGAATCGATGATGACATCTTTTCGAGGTATCGGCGGCTGTGCCGGTATCGTCACATCGTTCAGCTTATTGTAAGCATGAACGATGCGCCAACCACCCTGTGGCTTCTTGACACAGAACGTTGGTGCACTGTGCGGAGACTTTGATTCCCGCACTTGTCTTGCTTTGCGACGACTTTCGAAGAAGTCGTCGATGACCTTCACTTGCTCCCGCGGTAGTGGCCACGCAATACATCGTCCCTCGAGATCAATCTCGTGTTGTATTCCCTTGTTCAGCGGAAGCTCCGCAGGGATCTTGTCCGGGAGCACATCTCTGTGCTCTCGCAGAATCTCGTAATAGGGGCTCGACTTCAGTGAGTCCCAACTCTGCTCCTCGAAGCTTTCCTTCTTCGTCTTGGCACTGAGAGTATCTTCACTTTCAGTGGCGCTTCCAGCGAAGAGTTGTCTCAACTTCTCTGCTTCGCTTGTCGTTCTTTCGCGGTCCGAAAGAATGCATAGCCGTTCGATGTGTCCATCGTACATGTCCTTTGCGAAGCGCTTCCAGCTCATGACTGGAAGAGATGTCAACGCCGACGTATCCGTCGGAGGATTCTCCAACTCCATTTTCTCGTACTGGTACCCAGTACAGGTCCGCGT